TCTCCATGCCGTCCACATTTCCCTGTCCCTTTTCTCCATGCCGTCCACATTTCCCTGTCCCCTTTCTCCATGCCGTCCACATTTCCCTGTCCCCTTTCTCCATGCCGTCCACATTTCCCTGTCCCTTTTCTCCATGCCGTCCACATTTCCCTGTCCCCTTTCTCCATGCCGTCCACATTTCCCTGTCCCTTTTCTCCATGCCGTCCACATTTCCCTGTCCCTTTTCTCCATGCCGTCCACATTTCCCTGTCCCTTTTCTCCATGCCGTCCACATTTCCCTGTCCCCTTTCTCCATGCCGTCCACATTTCCCTGTCCCTTTTCTCCATGCCGTCCACATTTCCCTGTCCCTTTTCTCCATGCCGTCCACATTTCCCTGTCCCCTTTCTCCATGCCGTCCACATTTCCCTGTCCCTTTTCTCCATGCCGTCCACATTTCCTTGTCCCTTTTCTCCATGCCGTCCACATTTCCCTGTCCCTTTTCTCCATGCCGTCCACATTTCCCTGTCCCTTTTCTCCATGCCGTCCACATTTCCCTGTCCCTTTTCTCCATGCCGTCCACATTTCCCTGTCCCTTTTCTCCATGCCGTCCACATTTCCCTGTCCCTTTTCTCCATGCCGTCCACATTTCCCCGTCCCTTTTCTCCATGCCGTCCACATTTCCCTGTCCCTTTTCTCCATGCCGTCCCCCCCATTTCCCTGTCCCTTTTCTCCATGCCGTCCCCCCCATTCCCCTGCCCCTAACTTCCTGCCTCCACTCTCCCTGCCTTCCCCTTTTCCCTGCCCACTTCCTCCTTGCCTTCCACATTCGATTGCACCCATACGCTAACTTTTCTCCTGCCCCCTCCATCCTCACTGTGAGGCCTGCAGGTGGATGCATCCATGCCTCACGGCCGTTTGCCGCTGTTTGGATTAATGACGTAATGGTTACCCTGTTGTCCTCGACACTTGGCGGTTGCTTCTTGAGACATGCACACAAATCTACGTTGCTGACGTGATGAGGATTTCCATATATACTGTCATTCCACTGACTCTAGGACAGTACTAATTGCTGGTCGGGCACCTGATAGGGATGGCGTGTTATGGACACCAAGTGCGGCTTGTTCTGCCTCATTCTGGCTACCATTAGGGGCTCGTGTGCATAGCACCACACCCCTGCGGGCATGCACCTAGTGGAGTGGGGATGTGCCGCTGCCAGCGGCCTTGACCCAATGTCGAGTACAATTGCAGTGCCTAAAAATTTATAATACAAGTTCGTGCTTTGACAATAATATGCACTGTTATTTAGCCCCCCTTATTTTCCAGCCTACAGCAGACACCCCCATCCCTTGTTTTGTCAACCACTCAGGCAAATACCGTGTCACACGTTGACCCCCAGCAGTTGTCACCGTCACCATACACACGCCGACCCTGCAACCTCGTCCCTGTCCCCTTTCTCCCTATCACCCATCCATCATGTATCGGGGTCAACCACCTCTATATGCCTCCTGCTTTTCAGGAGGTGAGCCTTCAGGCAACCACCCGGCCCGTCGAGGTGGTGCTGCCAGCTCCGAGGGTGGTCGGTGCAGTACCCTTGCCACTTCGTATATCTCTCCTAGCACTGCTGCTCGGACACCTTCTGCTCCCCCAGGTACATCGGCGGCCAGGTTGCCTGTCTGTTGACGTCTGGCCATTCTGCCCATTACGTGATGGACAGCTAAAGCGTACACGTTCTGGGAGGGCTGCGCCATATGGCTCCACCTGCAATCTGGAGGGCACTCCAGGGAAAGCAGTGGGCGTATTGGAGGTGAATGGGAGAGATGGACCGTATGGGAGGGGGGAACATAGGGGAGGGAGGGTGAACTCTCCTACCACTACTGCCCGCTCCCACTCCCTATCTCCCTCTCGTCCCCATCCCCCTGACCCAATCTTCCTGCCACCACACTCCCTCCTTCCCCCTTTCCCTGTCCCCTCACTCCCTGCCCTCCACATTCCCCTGTCCAGCTTCTCCCTGCCGTCCCCATTCCTCTGCCCATATCTCCCTGTCTCCCCCATTCCCCTGCCCCTGTACTCCCTGCCCTCCACATTCCCCTGCCCCTATCTCCCTGTCGTCACCATCTCCCTGACCCAATCTTTCTGCCAACACTCTCCCTGCCTTCCGCCTTTCCCTGTCCCCTTTCTCCCTGCCCTCCACATTTCCCTTCATTCCGCCCTCTCTCCTCTGCATTCCGCCTTCTCCCCCCTTCATTCCGCCTTCTCTCCCCATCATTCCGCCATCTCTCCCCTTCATTCAGCGTTCTCTCCCCTTTCGCCCGCCTTCTCTCCCCCTCATTCCGCCTTCTCCCCCCTTCATTTCGCCTTCTTTCCCCTTCATTCCACCTTCTCCCCCCTTCATTCTGCCTTCTCTCCCCTTCGTTCCGCCTTCTGTCCCCTGCATTGCGTCTTCTCTCCTCATCATTCCGCCTTCTCTCCCCATCATTCCGCCTGCTCTCCCCTTCATTCGGCGTTCTCTCCCCTTTCGCCCGCCTTCTTTCCCCCTCATTCCGCCTTCTCCCCCCCTCATTCCGCCCTCTTTCCCCTGCATTCCGCCTTCTCCCCCCTTCATTCCGCCATCTCTCCCCTTCATTCCGCCTTCTCTCCTATGCATTCCGCCTTCTCCCCCCTTCATTCCGCCATCTCTCCCCTTCATTCCGCCTTCTCTCCTATGCATTCCGCCTTCTCCCCCCTTCATTCCGCCATCTCTCCCCTTCATTCCGCCTTCTCTCCTATGCATTCCGCCTTCTCCCCCCTTCATTCCGCCTTCTCCCCCCTTCATTCCGCCCTATTTCCCCTTCATTCCGCCTTCTCCCCCCTTCATTCCGCCCTCTTTCCCCTTCATTCCGCCTTCTCCCCCCTTCATTCCGCCTTCCCTCCCCTTCGCACGCCTTCTTTCCCCTTCATTCCGCCCTCTTTCCCCTTCATTCCGCCCTCTCTCCTCTGCATTCCGCCTTCTCTCCCCATCATTCCGCCTGCTCTCCCCTTCATTCGGCGTTCTCTCCCCTTTCGCCCGCCTTCTTTCCCCCTCATTCCGCCTTCTTTCCCCTTCATTCCGCCTTCTCCCCCCCTCATTCCGCCCTCTTTCCCCTGCATTCCGCCTTCTCCCCCCTTCATTCCGCCATCTCTCCCCTTCATTCTGCCTTCTCTCCCCTTCATTTCGCCTTCTTTCCCCTGCATTCCGCCTTCTCCCCCCTTCATTCCGCCATCTCTCCCCTTCATTCCGCCTTCTCTCCCCTTCATTTCGCCTTCTTTCCCCTTCATTCCGCCTTCTCCCCCCTTCATTCCGCCATCTCTCCCCTTCATTCCGCCTTCTCTCCCCTTCATTTCGCCTTCTTTCCCCTTCATTCCGCCTTCTCCCCCCTTCATTCCGCCCTATTTCCCCTCGCCTCTTTCCCCTATCTGCGCTCCCGTCTCTCCTTGCACGTTCGCCTAATTTTCCCATTCTTACCACGTGTCTCACACATTCCGCGCACCTCTTACCCCCATCCCTCCCCGCCCATTCTCCACACCTTCCCCCTTTTCCCCCCGTAAGTGGGTATTACGTGTGTACACCTAGGCCTTTCCACCTTGCCTATAGCGTTTTTGCCTCTACGTGCCGCCGCTGTTGCACGGCACAGTATTTTTTGTGCGATAAAAAATGTCATACACAGGGGGTCTGCTCTTGCCCGTTCGCGCACCGATTTTTTTTTTCAGACTAAGGAAAAGGCTGGGGAGCTGGGCTCAGCTAGCGTAGGTGCCGGGTTCTCCTACGTCTGAGAAGCAATAGCACACCCGGGGCTCACTTGAAACACCGCCCTGGTGACGGGTGTTCGCATGGACTTTGTTTTGGTAGAGCCTTACGACCCTCGAGATTGTCGCGGCGTGTTTCCCTGATGAGTTACGACTGCTCTATTCCGTTAGCCAATGGTTGCGCACTGCAAAATCGCAGCATCTGCCTTTTCGCGTCCGGGTAGGTGTACCACTGCAAATCGGGTTCTTTTCTCTGACCCTAAAAAAACTAATAATTCAAGTGCGCCCCCCCTTCGCTATTCTAGCCTGTGGTTTTAACCATGGTAGACATCTACAAGCTAGCTCTTCAAACCTTACAATATTATGAATTAGTTTAAATCGTTTTACTGCCAATGGTCAATTTCAACAGCTCCGGCACTTCATTTGCTCATTTGCTCCACCCCCCGCCACTCACTTTTTCTTCCGTGTTGGGCTCGAGTTACTTTAACAGTGTCTTGTTAGCGTTCGAGATATTGTCTCGGTTGTCAGGGGTGAAGCTAGGTGACAGTGCAAAAGGTAGAAGGTGAGGCTGGGGGGTGTGGGGGGAGAGGTTGGGTTGGGGGGATGTGGTGGTTATTTCTCCAGGTTGGGCAATGGGGGAAAGCAGATTCTTCCGGAACCCGGCCCAAGCACAGTTGTATATTTTCTGGAACCCCCGGACCCCAGCGTTACTCTGAAGAATAATCAAATCCGGGTAACTACCATTGATAATTTGGCCTTCGTCGGATCCTTCGGGACGTGAGCCCACGCCGCTCCGCAATGTGCGGTCTCGCCTTGCATTTTGACAGCGTGGGCTGCAGGATTGCCCCTTCATGGTCCTGCTGATCACACGCACTTCGTTTCCGCGACAAGTCGCGGCACCTGCCTTGCGGGTTGGTCGTGCGGTTGAGATGAATCCAATATGCCTCACTCAAATATTTGACTACGCTCAGCCGTCGATTCAGCCTGGGCTAGTCCATGTTCCAGAAACGCGAAGGTCGAGATTTGTGACTATGTTTGACCCACCTCCTCGAGCCAAGCCAATGGTTTGGCCTCAGTCAGGAATCGCAGACGGCGTGATGCGTCGCAGTAAGTTACGGTGCGTTGCAGTAAGGTGGTGACAAGAACCACACAACCATACCTTCCCAAACCACACTCCCTGTCCGCTTCCCAAACGAAGTTTGGGCTGATGGCAGAAGTCAGCTGAGCGTGTCTCGCTCATGAAGCAAAACAGCTTGTTCTAGTGTGACTCACAACTTGTGGGTGAAGCAACTAGGGAGGAGATACGCAGGTATTGTCTGCTGTTTTTCCCGAGTCTGAAAAATAGCCCGTACGGGTAATCGCGATTGGCCTGCACGTAGCCACACTTCCATCACTTCCCATCTACATTAGAATATCGTCCTCCTGACGAGCACCACCTGCGCCATGGCTACCGCCTCGGCAGCTAAAGCTTACCGATCTGTCGCACTGCTCCCGGCACTCCTCCTCGCCTTAGCACTCTCCCCACTACCCTCTGCGCACGCGTCCATCGGACAGACTCCATGGGTCGGAGGCGTGTCGCAGCACCTCGGTAACACTTCTAGCGCAGCGGACGTGGCTGCCATCGCGGTGCCAATGCGACACGTGTCGGTCGTTGAGGATGAGGACGAGCCGGAAATTGCGCGGCGAGAGATGCTGGAGCCGACCGCGGCGACGGCGGCGGTGCAGTGCCTGAAGCCCACCGTGAAGGGGTTCGCGTCGTCCATGCTCATGGAACCAGGGTGCGCTATACCCTAAAACGGGTGTAATTTGAGTAGTTTAATCTTCTCGAAATGCCTTTCGGCATGGAAGCCGTACATGCGTTTTGTTCGCCGCTAAAGCGTCGTTCAATAAGGTGGACGTGTCCTTAGACATCTTGGGCTCCGTCCCCCATTCCCACCCCATTCCTCCCCCCCCTCTTCTCTTTTCGCAATGCCTACCTTGCTGTTCCGACGACACCGATCTCCCTCTATACCGCCCTCCCTCCCCCCCTCCCCCTCTCTCCCCCAGCCTCTTTCTCAATTGGAAGATAACGAAGACGGGCGCAGTCGCCGTGGCTATCCACGCCAAGGCGACGACGACCGCTGCGAGAGGCTGGATCGCCGTGGGATGGTCGGCGACGGGCCTCATGTCGCCGGCCGAGGCGATCGCGGGCAACCTGCCGCACGGCGGGTTACAGGGTTACAAGCTGAACACGTACACTTCGGTGGTTCCGACGAACAGCATCGCGTTCAAGGGAAGGACGGTGTCCACCACTGCTGCGGGCACGGTGATCAGGTAACCTCGCCTCCTCGCCGCCGCCGCCTCGCATGCGTCTATCCCTCCTCTGGGCTCTAGTCTAGTATGCCGACTTGCCCCCACCGATTGCGCGCCCTGAAATGCCCACTTGGAACAACGGTTGCCGTTTCTTGCTTTTTTCTTTCCTCCCTGTGTCGGCGCGCCCGCCTTCCCTCCCTGTGTCGGCGCGCCCGCCTTCCCTCTCTGTGCGACGCAGTTTCATTCGTCGGCCCGGCGACGGAGGCAAGGTGCCGGTGACGCTGCGCCAGCCAAACCGCCTCGTGTGGGCCTACTCTAACGACGGCACCAAGGCCGTTGGTTACCACGGCAGTAACGTGTACGTCTTACACATTAGCGGAGGAGACTCGCTAGAAGGTTTTCCTCTATGTGGTGCTCGTAATTGCGGGTGTTTGCGAATCGTGCAAAGTAGCCTTACCACGTTCTTTCTGCCGATTGCCGCAATAACTGCTGTTCCCTTCTCTGCCCGTTACAGTGGCGCGCTGACAGTCATCTTCGCTTGTAACGGGGCGACGGGCAAAGTGCCAGGCAACCCCAACTCTCCGCCCCCGCCGCCGTACAAGCCTCCGCCGATCGTTCGCTCCAACAAGTGTCCGGTGTCGTCTCTCCCCGGCTTCATCTACATGACTGATCTGGCGCCAGGGTGAGTATAACGCCAGTTAAGAGACAGCTGCGTGTGTGGGTTTTAGCCCTAGCCAGTCCTTCAACTCTTTTCCTGACTGCCGCCCCTCTCACCGCTGGGTCCGTCGCTTCCTCTCATGGTCCACACTCCATGCCCCCTTCCCCGACTTCACTCCAATCTTCCTTCCTTCCTCCCCCTCCCGTTCCCTCTGTCCGTTCTTCCCTCCTACTGTCACTCTCCGTCTCCTACTGTCAGTCTCCGTCTCCTACTGTCACCCTCCTTTTCCTACTGTCAGTCTCCGTCTCCTACTGTCACACCCCCACCCTCGCCACGCGCGCCCTCCCAGCGTCGTGCTGCGCTCACTGGCGCCTGCATCAGCGCAACGTGGGGGAGGACGCGATGGAGGCGGCGCTAGAACGAGGAGCGGGTAGGATGCCGCATCCTCAAAAGGCAGCACCTCCGCCACGTTGCGCAGATGCGCAGGTGTCGCGGTCATGATAAATACACCCGCACCCGCACTCATTCTCTCCGTTTCTCTCTTTCCCTTCCCCCGTCTCCCTTCCGTGCACTCACCCCCGCGCGCCCCCGCAGCGTCGTGCTGCACTGGCGCCTGTATCTGCGCAACGTGGTGGAGGTGGCGATCGAGGCGAAGGCGGGCAGCGGGGCGGAGAGCGGGTGGCTCTCGCTCGGGTGGTCCGCCAATGGGCGAATGGGCGGGTCGGAGGCTATTATCGGAAATAAAGGGGCGGGTGTACTGGGCGCTTATGACATCATGGGCTACAGTATGACCTCAATACAGCCTAAGATTTTGGCGCTGGGGGATGCTGCTGCGGTGTACAAGAATGGGCAAGGATCTACAATAATGAGGTGAGCAAAGGGAGGAGGGAGGCACATGTAACAATGGCTCGCATGGCTGTAGAGTGCTGTAGTACACCCTATAACAAGAAGACAGATGGCTGAATTCCATTTGACAAGCTCTTAGTATTGTGTGGTACTCTCTAGAGTTCTGCCTAGGTGAAATTTGAATTGTGAGTGTGGTGTTTCTTATAACTCGCAGGTTCAGGAGAGCAAGGGGGAAGTTCAACCGGGTTGCGGTGAATCCGTGGGGGATCAACACGCTGGTGTGGGCCTACTCCAAGGACAACACCAAGACTTTCACCTACCATGGTGGTAACTGGTGAGCGAAACACTGTAGCAGGTGGGTCAGGGAAGCATGCATATGAAATCCTTATCCTCAGCTCCAACCAATGCTTGCGTCACGCCTTTCTATGTAACCGTGTGGGGTGGGGGGTGGGGGGGTGTGCGTCTATTATCAACTCATGGCACTTCTCAGCTCAGGCATGTCTTCACATTCCTCCACTACAGACAATGTCTCATGCATTTAGCCCTTCCCTCTTCCCCGTCCCATCCATGCCTCCCTCCCCTCCAGTGGCTGGCTCACAGTGGACTTCTCCTGCAAGGTGCCGCCATACAATCGCGGGCGGGGCGAGAATGAGGGCAACGAGGGGGAGGAGTATAACTAGCAGTTCAAGGCATGATGACTTAGAGTCATGTGCCCCTCTGGTAAAATGAGCTTAGTAATTTCTTCAGATATTTTAATGGGTCTCTGTAGTTTACGTATTGTAGGATTATGTATCCATATCATTTAACTGTATCTGTTCATCCAGCAATGTGTTGTAGCCGCTTTAAGGGGGTTTTGGATAGTAAAGATTATGCAGCTGGTTTGGAATTATGCTTGAAAAGCAAGCCAGTTCAGAGCATGTGACATGCTTATTAAAAAAGGTGCAGAACAATGATAGCGGACCCCAAAAAGGTTGACCTCAATGGCTCTTTACAACACCTTCAGCCTAAGGCAAAAGATACCGTACATGTCTTCCGAACCCCCAAAAGATGCCCTCTCCTTTGTCTATGCTATCAATGGCTTCCTCCAACTGACCAAAATCTCAACGCCGCCAAGCCCAATCCATCCAAAACAAAATTGAGGGGAGGGGTGAGGTGTGGAGGTGGTGGTGGTGGGAGCACAGGAGGGTGAGGCTGGACGGGTGGTTCGCGTATCAGGAGCAACGCAAGGCATCGACTCCCTACTGCTGGGGGGCGGACTCAGCAGGGAACGTGAGCCTCTTCATGTGCTTCTCATGCGGGTACTTGAGCTTGGTGGCAAGCCCTGCTGCCTCGAGCAGCTTGATGGTGTACCAAGTCATGTCCACCTGGTGGTCCTCCAGCCCGTGCCGGCACGAGTACTGGAACGCGTGGTGGTTGTTGTGCCAACCCTCGCCGAAGGCAAGGATACCCACCCACCTGTCGTGGCGGTGATGGGAGGTACACAGGGGGGTCCAGGGGAGAAAAAAGGGTTATTCTACAAGGGAAAGCACAGTCGAGCGGTGCAACGTTCATGGCGAGGGGGGAGGGGGAGGGAGAGGGGGGTGGAGGCGGGCCGTTTGGCTGAAATTTGACAATGTCAGTGCTCCTGCGGCTTTCTGGCCCAGGATTTAACGCCCTGCTGAACCTCCACACCCTAGTTCAGGCACTAGGGATCTCCTAGTGCGAACTTGGATGAGATCCCTAGTTCATCTTGTGGATCTCATGTCCACACACTCCTCCTGCTCATCAACTGGCCAAAAAGCTGAAGTCATCACCCAGCCTCTCCTTTAAAGCTCACGTGGCTCTCAGATTCGGTAAACTTGCATAGGTGTCAGCTCCGCTACCTCTCCTCTGCAGCATGCAACACATGATGTGATACAAGCCGGGCAGTGGGGGATGGATGCAGGCAATGGACTGCACTGCAGGGTCTCACCAGTTGTTGCGAGAGAGGTCGCCCGTGTTCCAGGATTGGTAGCCCCACACGTGGGAAGCGGAGTTTACAAACCACGTGATGTGGTACACCCACACGGCGCGCACGCCCTGTGAAAAACAGACGGACACAAGTCGTGGGGAGAGCGTACAGCCGTTCATACCACGACCAACAGAAGGCTCGAAACTCGATCGCGGCTGAAGAGGACATCCAGTCTAAACGGGGAAGAACAGAACGGAAAGGGGATTTGAGCGATACGCGAAAGGCGGCAGGAGACGAGGACTTACGAAGCCCCAGACGACCCAGGGGAAGCCGCCGAGGGCGTAGAGCAGCAGCACGGAGGCGACGATGTGCCACACGTAGGTGGCCTCGATGAAGTCGTAGAAGGGGTCGTTCTCCATGTCCGCGATGTTGTTGCGCACGCCCACCTGCGGCCACGAATCAATTCAACGCAGCAAAAATGCACGAATGCTCTATTAGCCGTTGCAAATCAATTCAATGCAACAACGGGTCAGTAGAAATGTTCACTCGTGATAAGAATACAAGCCATGCATCTTCACGTCGCTGATCGGGTCGGTAGTTACGTTCGGTATCTTGTTCCTCACACCTCCTGTAATCCTCGATGCACGAAACTGGCCGCCTAGGTTGTTCTTACTTCTACCTGTGCGATCCGTTTATTTTGTTTCTACTTCAAATCTGCGACGTGAACGTGATGAGCCTATGTGCTGTGAGACATAATGCATCTAAGGAACTGTTTTCACGCGCTGTAAGGGGCTGTTCTCACGCGCTGTAAGGGACTGTGTCTCACCCGCTCCTGCGTGGCGACGTCGTCCAGCAGCCACCCCATGTGGCTGTGCCAGAAGCCCTCGTACGGGGTGTGCGGGTCGGCGGGCGTGTCGCAGAAGCGATGGTGGTACCGGTGAGCGCTCACCCACTCCTTGGGGTCACCCTGCACGACGCCAACAGCCGTTAGGGAAGGAAAGGGTAGAAAGGGCACGCGAAGGGTGAGAATACGGGAAGAAAAACTTCACACGAAAGCGCCACATGAGGAGTAGTTCATATCATGCTAGCAAATACGTGGAGGTAGGAGGCGCAACGACTGCATACCTGAACGGCCTGAACGCCGCAGTAGGCGAAGGTGTACTCGAGCCACTTGGGAAGCGTGAAGGAGCGATGCGACAGGTTGCGGTGGTACGACAAGGTGATCCCGAACATTCCTGAAAAAAAGGTGGTTTGAACAAGACGAGCGGGAAACAAGCAAAGCCAAGGCTCAGTAAAACCGCCAGTTAATGAAGCGAGCGCCAGATTCAACGGTTGACTGAAATTGCAAGGTCTCGAGTTGAGCGAAAAGGGCTTGCCTGCCAGTGAAGCAGAACGCACCTGTGATCAAGTAAAGCCCGACGAAGAGGCCGAAGTTCTCCCAGGAGAAGGTAGCCGGCGCGAAGAGGCACAGGCCATGGACGAAGAGCATGTACACCAGGTAGCTCCAGTCCTTGGCCGTGTACTCCCGGTTGAAGAAATACGGCCGCTTCCGTTGCGCGATCACGTCGGAGAACCACACTTGCGCGGACTCAAACGGGGACTGCTCTGCCGCGGATGGCTTGGGGGGAGCCTCCACGGCGCACGAAATTTGTCGTCTTTGTGATGGCAGGCCGACGGTCGGAGCCGCAAAAGGTTTGAAGGATCGGATGAATGGGGTGGATAGGGTCGGCAATCTGGGGGACGCACGCAGCGTCGACGAGGCCAGGGGTGCCAGGGCTCTGGCGCCGGTCGCAGCGCGCACGGCGGTTCTCTGGATCTCCGCTCCTCGGGTTAGGAAAGACCCTGACGGGAGGACGGCCGCCGATGTGGTCGCCATGATTCCGTCTAAGGAGACCGATTAGCGGCCTTCTGTGTGAGGGATGCTCAAGTCAAAGGCCTCTACAAGAGTGATGATCTGGAGAAGGCTGAACTCGAGATTCAGACTCACACAGGTAGGAAGCAAGAGTGATTAGCTCGAAGGTTTCAAATGAGCTGAATGATCGAATTAGCTGAGAGAACTCTGCTACCGTTGTTTTATTCACGCTATCAGTCAGTCATTCCTCAACCAAGGGACCTCTGCTCTGCTGGGCTTCTTTTGCGTGGAGTAGACGGAGGCTCCTCTCGCAGCATGAAGATTACCGAGACGGGTATGCGTGCCTCGGGGAGCTCCCCCCAACCTTGGGATTCCCACCGAACCTGCGGACGAAACACGAGGATGTTCCGCAATCGCATCAGCGACATCTGGCCGTTCATCGAATTGACGGAAACCGTCGATCACAGCGCAACTTTGCTGGCTCAGCGCAGGTCGATGACGTTCTCGTGTTGTTGGTGGCTGTAGAATGGGTGGTCCAAAATCTCCAGGTTTGACGTGTTTCGTGAAAAGAGGACTTGCTGGATTCACCAGTCAGAGGGGAGAGGATGTGGCGAACCGCGATTATGCGGTGTGGCCAGGCTCTGCCTTGCTGGAGAAAAAAGGTTGGCGTGTAACAACCCTCACTGCCCCCCCCAGGGCCCCCATGCCCCCCACTATGTACCCGAGATATTTTGCTGGTAATCCGTCGGTGTCCGTGGCGACCGCCAGTGTGATTTGTGAGGCTTGGATCATGTCGATTTCCTCGAACCAATGCCAACTTCGCTTTCGGCGTGAGATGCTACGGCAAATCGACATGAAGGCCCACTGCACCGGAGAAGCGTACAGCTGCGCAATTCGTTGTCGCGTCGCCTTCACTACGATTGGATCACTGGAAACTGAGATTATCCGCGTTTGAAGATGGACCACTTTTAAATGCTGGCACTAGTGCTCCATCCATGTTCAGCAGCAGCATACATGACAATGCTTACAGAGCTGCGTCGCGATTGAATCCCGTGAAGACGTGTGTTTTTGGGTTGCGGAGCAACCTATTGCAATCGATCCGTCATACATTTTGGAGCAGATACGCACACACTGTATCAGCATTCCACAAGCGAACAAGGCGGTACAAACGAGTATGCTGGTTTGGAAGTCTCAAGGCTCGGCAGCTCCTTCGACTCCCTCCCACACGCACAACCACCAAGGCGACCAGCCAGTCGACCGAACGAAGCGACCCAATGGAGCGACTGAAGTCACAAGCTTCACCAGGCTCAGAACACAAGCGACAGTATTCATGAGGCAATGGCGGATTGCGTAAGGAGAAGTTCACAACACTACCTTTTCCCGGTTCGGAAATATGTGATGCGAGGGCTGCAGACCACAGCACTAAAGGTTTACCCGCTCTTGCCTATTAAGCTCTGCCATTAGGGTTTTATAGTTTGTACTTTCTAGGGCGAGGGGAGTGCATTCGTGCGGAACTGCGCAAGAAAGTCCCAAGCCTACTGTGCAAATCACGCCATGCCTGCGCCGCGTGTGGCCCATAAGGCTCCTCAACAACGAGCAGGGCGAGCCGGCGGGCGAGGTTCGGAGGAACACCAAAGCGAAGTGAGCCCATCAGGGTCGGGGTTTAAGAAGAAAGGCGGCGGTTTGGAGCAACCGCATTTGGCCAAGCATGTTTCAGCCAATGGACGGAAGCCACCTGGACACGAGGCTAAGGCGGGAAGCTCATCAGCACCAGCAAACGGTCATATCCGAGGCAACAACGTGCTTAGTAACGCGGTTTTCAGGCACAGCCACCATTACACTTACGACGGCGTGGGGGATGCCGCGCAGACTCGCGTGGGGGGCTCGGCAAGCAGCGTGAAGCCCGGCAGCTTGAAATCCGCCAGCGTGAGATCCGGCATGGACGCGCTGTACGCGGGAGGCGAAGGCCTTCCCCGGCGGATCAACTTCCTCCCCGCGCGCCACGCCGACGCGCACTCCGCGCTCCCCGTGGATCTCAAGCCGCTGAATGCGGCGGATCCGAGCCGCGAGCCACGTGGCAGCCAGCCAGTGGGTGGAGCGGAGGGCGTGGGCCCGGGGGAGGGGAAGCAGGGGAGGCGGAGGGGAGAGAAGGAGCGGCGGGAGTCGAGTGAGAGGGAGTGGGACGGGCTGGATGGGAGGCTGGATCGATCGGATGTGGCGGTGGAGTGGCGGGAAATACGGCCCATTGTAAGCTCTCTAGCAATCCGTGCCAATGTCCCCTCCCCCCTGTCCCCTCCCCCCTCGCCCCTCCCCCCCGCCCATCCATCACGCTTCCTCCTCTTTGCTGCGTGCGCTGCATGGTGTGCATTGCATGGTGTGCATTGCATGGTGTGCATTGCATGGTGTGCATTGCATGGTGTGCATTGCATGGTGTGCATTGCATGGTGTGCATTGCATGGTGTGCATTGCATGGTGTGCATTGCATGGTGTGCATTGCATGGTGTGCATTGCATGGTGTGCATTGCATGGTGTGCATTGCATGGTGTGCATTGCATGGTGTGCATTGCATGGTGTGCATTGCATGGTGTGCATGCTCTGCATGCTCTATGTGGTCGCAGGGAGCGGGCCTGAGCAACCTAGGCAACACGTGTTTTATGAACTCCGTGCTACAGTGCCTCACATACACCCCACCACTCGCTAACTACCTCTCGCAGTCTCCGCACTCCGCTAAGTGTAAGCGCCCCTCATCTCCTGTCCCTTTCTCCTCCCTCTTCCTCTTATGGCTGCTCACGTGTGCCATTGGTTTGTTGGGACCACATTAGGACAGCAGGACTCTGGACATTGCCATCCATCCTGGTTTTCTCATCCTTACTTGTATTGTATCCATGTAGTAAGTTTTACTTGCATGCTTGTCAATCGCTATAATCACACAACGCTCCCCACTGTCACTGTCATTCTCGCTCAATCTTTTCCGTGTACTCTGTGTGCAGGTTCGGTGCCGGGGTGGTGTGCGCTGTGTGAGATGGAGAAGCACGTGCCAAGGGCAGTGGGGTCCACGGGCAAGGTCGTCTCGCCCACAGGCTTCGTGCGAAACGTCAGAAGTACGAGCTGTTGGATTGAGCCTCATCTGGGTCCCTCTTCTCTCCTCTTCTCTCCTCTTCTCTCCTCTTCTCTCCTCTTCTCTCCTCTTTATTCATGTCGCGACGTGTTACAGACGATATACGTAGTAAGACCAAAGCATGGCAATAATCAAACCACACATTCCCAGTTTCCGCTGCCCACTCCCAACACCGAGTGCAAGCGTTGCCTGCCAGACGTTTCCCCATCCCTTACACCCCACGCCCAACGTCCGCCCTTCCCACCCATCACAGGCATAGCTCGGTCCTTTAAAGCCGGTCGGCAAGAAGACGCACACGAGTACATGCGTTGCCTGCTAGACGCTCTCCACCGATGCTGCCTGCCCCCCAAACGAGCCTCCGCCTCAGGCTCGGGCGCCGCACCTCCTCTGGACCCTGCGTTCGCCTCCAGGCTGATGAACACGTTTGTGCACCGGACCTTTGGAGGGTACCTGTGCAGCCAGGTGCAGTGCACAGTGTGTGGGTACTGCTCCCGAACCTACGACCCGTTCCTGGACCTCAGCCTCGAGATTGTCCGAGCCGACTCAGTGACCAAGGCTCTGCATCGGTTTACATCTGAAGAGGCTCTGGATGGGGCGAACAAGTATAAGTGCAGGTGAGGTGATTTCGAGTCTGCTTTTGAGCCGACTCAAAAGGAGGCTCTGGTCAGGGCGAACAAGTATAAGTGCAGGTGAGGTGGTGGGTGCTGGGGGATTGATTCTGGGCTGATTTTTGTTATTGCCTCACCTCTCTTCCCCTCCTTCCCTTCTCCTCCCCTCCCTCCTTGTGGTGCATTTCTAGTGACTCACACACCTCTTTCTCTCCTATGTCCGTGTCCCCTGTCCCTTCCCAAACCCCCATCTCACCAGCAAGTGCAGGAAGAAGGTGCGGGCGCTCAAGAGCTTTGCAGTGGAAGAAGCACCGCCCATCCTGACAGTGCACCTGAAGCGCTTCGCTGCCTTCACGGGGCGCAAGCTCGACAAGCACGTGGCGTTCGACCCCTCGCTGGACCTCTCGCCCTTCATGACCGCGCCCTCCCCCTCCCCCTCCTCCCCCCACTCCACTGCTGGCTGTAGCAGCAGCAGCATTACCAATACCAGTGCCAGTGCTAGTGGTGGCGGCAGTAAGAGCAGCAGAGGCAGCAGCAGCAGCGGTAGGGGTGGGAAGTACAGTCTGTACGGCGTGTTGGTGCACGCGGGGTGGTCAACGAACTCGGGGCACTACTACTGCTACGTGCGGGGGCCGTCAGGCACATGGAGCTCCATGGACGACTCACGGGTGCAGCAGGTGAGCGAGAAAACCGTGCTCCAGCAACGGGCGTATCTCCTCTTCTACGTCCGAGAACCCACGGCCCATGCTGCTGCTAATGCTAATGCTGCTGCTGCTGCTGCTGCTAATGCTGCTAATGCTGTTAGTGCGAATACTGCTGCTGTTGCTGCTCGTCCCCCTCCTACTGCGCCTTTTCCTGCTGCTGCTGCTCCTGCTTCCACTGCTGCTGGTGCTGCTGCTGCTGCTGAGGTGAAGGTGGGAAAGAAGGGCAAGGCGGCAGCGCCACATGTAGAGGCGCTCATGCACATGCAGGCGCATGCACAGGCGCAGTCACAGGCACAGCCACAGGCACAGGCACAGGCACAGGTAGAGGGGATGGCTGTTGACGAGAGAAAGGGGAGCGCAGCTGAGAGGGCGGAAGGGGGAGAGGGCGCGAGGGAGGGGAGGGGTGAAGGGGAGGGGGTGGTGGAGGGGGCGAAGGAGAAGTGGGATGAAGGGGAGGGGCGAGCAAGGCTGGCAGAAGTGTCGAGTGGGGAGGAGAGCAGCGAGGAGGAGAGGAAGGCTGATGGGGAGGCAGCAGCTGGTGACGGTGGTGATAGCGATGGGGATGGTGATGATGACAGCGATGATCCTGATTGGACGTTGGGCGATGAGGGGGAAGAGGATGCAGGCAACGAGGAGGGGGGGGAGAATAGGGGGGAGGGTTCAGGGCGGCAGCGGGAGGGACGGCGCACCTCGGGGTCATGGGTGGCAGCAGTTGGACAGATGCTACGGTTGTTACCTGGCTCCAGGGAATCTAGAGCGGCCCTCAGGAGCAGGAGCAGCCCCGGCAGCAGCACCAGCTTGGGAAACAGCTTCGGCAGCAGGGGATGGGGGGCAACGAGCAGCAGTCTGGGCAGCAGCGGTGGCAGCAGCAGCAGGGAGAGGATGCTGCGGCTCATGTCCCCCCTCGTGCCGCTGCCTTTTTCTGGCGTGAGGGGCGGGCGAGAGGAGCTGGTTTTTCCCCTGGGAGGGCACAGGGGGCGGAAGAGGAGGAGGGAGGCTATGGAGGGGTGGGGCCGTGGTGTGGGCTGGCAGGCGAGCGGAGAGATGGAGATGCGGGAGAAATGGGAGGGAGGAAGAAGATTGGGGAGGAGAGAGGAGGTGACGGTCGCGGAGGGGGAGAAAGGGGAGGTGGAAAAGGAGGGGGGGAGGAGGAGGGCAGGAGAAGGCCACAGGGGGCGATTGTGGCTCAAGTGATGAACGAAATGCAAATGGAGGAGGGGGAGGTGGGGGAGGAGGAGGAGGAGGAAGGGGAGGCGGTGATGATGGCAGGGCCAGGGATCGTGGCTCGGGGGGTGGGGTCGTCAGAGGATGACTCGGAGGGGTGGAGCAGTGGGAGCGAGAGCGAGGGCGATGGGGATAAAGGAGGGGAGGACGGGCGACAACAAGATGAAGAGGAGGAGGACGAGGACGGAGTAGAAGGAAAGGGCAATGGGCAGCGAGTGCAGACGGGCCAGGGGAATGGCAGCGGGAGCAAGAGCTTGGATGGCAACAGCAGAAGCAGGGTGGTGACGTTTGGGGGGTCGGATGCGGTGTGGATGATGAGGGAGGGCGGGCAGGAGGCGCCCGTGGGGGCCGGCGGACTGGCAGGCAGCCAGTGGGGCGATGGTGAGTGCACCTGGGGATTGTGGTCGTCTTGTGTTGCAAATACGAGGGATTCTGGGCACCCCAACGAGTGAGTGCAAAGGGGCAGGTGAAGCGGGGTGGTAGGCGGAGGGAGACAGAAGGAGGGCTAGGGGCGTAAAAAAATCACATTATGTCCTGTGGCTTGGCATGGCCCATGCCAGAAATTCGACAAGGCTGCTGCTGAGTAAAATACATCCAGCAGCAAGCTTTCAATCTCCTTTTCTATTTCTGGGAGTTTGCCTTTTCTCATGTCTCTTCTCTTCTGTGCGTCTTTATCTTTTGCTTGCCTTACCTGTCATGCTTTTTTTTAGTGGACTCAACAATCTTTATCTTTTGCTGGCCTTACCTGTCATGCTTTCAGACGGCATGGCAATGAACGGCGCCCACATGCATTTGCCTGAGAGAAGAGCCGCCACCAAGTACCGATACGACGACTGGTGAGTGCACCAAGCACCGATACAACGACTGGTGAGTGCAGCAAGCACCGATATGACGACTGGTGGTGAGTGCACCAAGCACCGATACGACGACTGGTGAGTGCAGCAAGCACCGATACGACGACTGGTGAGTGCAGCAAGCACCAATACGACGACTGGTGAGTGCAGCAAGCACCGATACGACGACTGGTGAGTGCAGCAAGCACCGATACGACGACTGGTGAGTGCAGCAAGCACCAATACGACGACTGGTGAGTGCAGCAAGCACCGATACGACGACTGGTGAGTGCAGCAAGCACCGATACGACGACTGGTGAGTGCAGCAAGCACCGATACGACGACTGGTGAGTGCAGCAAGCACCGATACGACGACTGGTGAGTGCAGCAAGCACGGATACGACGACTGGTGAGTGCAGCAAGCACCGATACGACGACTGGTGAGTGCACCAAGCACGGATACGACAACTGGTGAGTGCAGCAAGCACCGATACGACGACTGGTGAGTGCAGCAAGCACCAATACGACGACTGGTGAGTGCAGCAAGCACCGATACGACGACTGGTGAGTGCAGCAAGCACCGATACGACGACTGGTGAGTGCAGCAAGCACCGATACGACGACTGGTGAGTGCAGCAAGCACCGATACGACGACTGGTGACTGCAGCAAGCACCGATACGACGACTGGTGAGTGCAGCAAGCACCGATACGACGACTGGTGAGTGCAGCAAGCACCGATACGACGACTGGTGAGTGCAGCAAGCACGGATACGACGACTGGTGAGTGCAGCAAGCACCGATACGACGACTGGTGAGTGCAGCAAGCACCGATACGATGACTGGTGAGTGCAGCAAGCACCGACTCATTCATTTATGATTTATCACTCTGTTTTTTAGCCGTTCCAGCATCAGGGGTACCTGTTCCCCCCTTATCCCCTTCCTCTCCCATTTTCCCTTCCCCCCCGCGCCCCTCCCCCCATCCCCCCCTCCCTCCCTCCTTTCCCCCCCTCATACCCACCATGGTTCCCCTCTCCCGTATCCCCCGCACCCATTGCCCCTCCCCCATCTTTCCGTGCATCAGGGACGAGGAGGTGGACCGGGGCCGGGTGAAGAAAGGTGAAGCGCTCCAGCATCAGGGGCACCTGTCCGATCCCTGTTTCTCTCCGATTGCCCCTTAACTCAAAGCCCCCCCTCACCTCCCCCGTCCCGTATCCCCCTGACCCATTGCCCCTGCCCCATCTTGCGTGCATCAGGGACGAGGAGGTGGACCGCGGCGGGTTGAAGAAGGTGAAGCGCTCCAGCATCAGGAGCACCTCCCCCCTCCTGTATCCCCTCACCCATCCCCTGCCCCCCCTGCCCCATCTTGCGTGCATCAGGGACGAGGAGCTGGACCGCGGCCGGGTGAAGAAGATGAAGCGCAAGGCGCACCCCACAGACGAGGCTGCAGATCACAGGAACCCCTTCCAGGAAGCTGCTCTCAGACCTGCTGGTGCTGGTGGGGAAGTTGGTGGGGATGAGGGTGGTGTAAGGGAGGCGCATGGGAAGAGGCCTGGGAGGTGGATGGGGCGGGACAAGGGCAGGCATGACAGCAACAGGCACGTGGCTAAGCTGAGGGGAAAGAGTGCCAGGCCCAGATGGTAGCTGGCTGGTAGTCTGTGATGGTAACTGCTGGGCCTGGATTGTAGCTGGTAGTCTGGCATGGTGGCCGATTGAGGATGATGCCTTCTTCCTGCCGGTTCTGATATAGGTGTGCAGGGGGCTGGTGTGCAAGAGCGTAGTGATGATGCTCGCACAAGAGATGGGTCCTCCATCATGCGCGATTCAGGTTCACTGTTGTGGCATCCCGCCATTATGCGAAATTTGTTACAGATTGATTCCTTCTATTCCGCCTATTTCCTTGCGGTGCCTCAACTGGCCAAATGTTGGGCGAAATCAAAAGAATGAAATTCTTCTTACCGCGTACATTGAGGTGCACGCAGCCTTCAAGATTCACTCGTGCCATGATGTCCACATTTTCAGTCCACGTGGACCTCTTCTGAAAGCCACCTCTCGGTCCTGGCCGCCATTTCACCTTCTGTAGTCTCGCATCAAACTACGCATTAGTGCGTTTCGTCGCACTGCACCACATCGCGTACTATCGCACAGTATCGCAGAGTGTAGGTCGTCACCATGGCTGTTGTGGCGACTAATGCTCTCCTTTCGCCCACGTTACTCCCCACACACCCAGTCCATACCCGAGCGCCACGTGGCATCTCAAAAAACAGTCCAGGTTCAGCCAATGGCCCTCGCGCCCACAGCTTTTCCCGCCAAAACTATCCGACACTCCTCGGCATCTCTCAAGTACCCGCACCGCGCGTCAATCGCGTAGCTGTAGCCGCCGCTACAACCTCGCCGTCCCAGGCTACCACCGCCCCCGGTAAATCCCTCCCTGATCGCCGCGTGTCGGGCTCCAATTGGTCGCAAAACCGTGGCAGCAGCGGGGGAGGGAGCAGCAGCAGCACTAGTACCGACGATGTCACCACCGTTGTACGCGATATAAGCGTTTCGTTGGAAGGGTACGACTCGTCGTTGGAGTACCTTCAAGAGCAGGACTCCTTCTCTCGCTACTCGGGCTACATCGCTCGGGCCGCGGGGCCGGGTGGTGACGAGTGGGCGGAGTACGATGCGCGCGCCATGGGAGAGTACTTCCGCGCGCGCCCGCTGCTGGTGGCGCGGCGGCTGGCGCAGATCGGCGCGGTGGCGGGCGCGTGGGCGGGGAAGCGGTGGGTGGACGCGAAGCTGGGGCGCGCGGAGGCGACGTTCAAAGAGAGGGCCGCCGAGCTCCGACAGGCGCTCGTGCTGCTGGGCCCGGTGAGAGCCGCGGGGGGGGCTAGTCAGTGCGGCTGGGGGTGGTGAGACGCGCAGTGCTGCCAGGACCGGTGAGACGCGCGGGGGGCTGAATCAGTGCGGTGATGGGGGCTCGTGCCTCCGGTACTGGTGACGGGGGCCTTGGGAGCGGTGAGAGATGCGGTGAGAGATGCGGTGAGAGATGCGGTGAGGGGTGAAGGAAGCTCGTGCGCCTGACTGTGTTGTACGCATAGGAATACCCTCTTGTGTGTGTTCCCACGCTCACTCACTCTCTTCCCATGGCACTCCGTAACTCTCTCACTCACCCTCCCCCCTCCACCTCCTTCCCAGCCCCAACATCCCTCCGCCTCCTTCCCAGCCCCAACATCCCTCCCCTGCTCCCGTCTCTCACAAAAATCACCTCTTTGAATTCGTCTCCCCTTTCCTCCCCTTGCCGTTACCCCCTCCCCCCCCCCCTCTCCGCCACGCCACCTCCCGCCAGGCTTTCGTGAAGATCGCTCAGGCTGTCTCCTCCCGCCCGGTACGCCCTGGCTGCCCCTCTCGCATGTCTCTCGTCGTCCTCTGCTCCTCCCTCGTCGCCGCCGCTTGCTGTTCTGTTCCCCTCCTTCACTGCTCCTTGCCCTGCTCTACTGCTCCCCCTTCCCCGCTGCAATCCTTCCAACCCCCCCCAGTAACTAAAGATGCCCCCATCAGCTCTTGCAAGATCCTACCAACGGCATCTGGCCATGATCAGCTCGAACCCTACCAACTCACCATCCCCCGCCGATCCCCACTTTCCCGCCCTCTAACCCCGCTCACGACGCCATCCCGCCCGCTTACGTGGACGAGCTGTCTCCCCTGCAGGACCGCATAGTACTTCCCCACTCACAACCCCCCCCCCCCCATACTCACAACTCCCCCCCATACTCACAACTCCCCCCATACTCACAACTCCCCCCCATACTCACAACTTCCCCCCATACTCACAACTCCCCCCCATACTCACAACAACTCCCCCCCATACCATTCTCACAACTCCCCCCCATACTCACGACTCCCACCCATACTCACGACTCCCACCCATACTCACGACTCCCACCCATATCCACGACCACCAATCCCCCCCTCTCCCCTCGGTCCTATTGTTGCCTCACTGCTGACGTTCTCCCCACCTCAGGACGTCATCCCGCCCGCCTACGTGGACGAGCTGTCCCTACTGCAGGACCGCATAGCGCCCTTCCCCACACGCACGGCGCTCGACATGATCGAGGCCGAGCTGGGCGTGCCCGTCGACCTCATCTTTGATGAGATCTCGCCCTCCCCAGTTGCCGCTGCGTCGCTGGGGCAGGTAACGACTGGGTCAGGTAGCAACTGGGGCAGTTCTGACCTCACTTGGGTGCTGAGCTCATGCAATTCAGGCGATGACTGCTAAGAGTCCGCTGACATCATCTCAGGCGATGACTGCTCAAACCCCCACTCAAGGAGCTCATCATCTCAAGGCGCTGACCCCCACTCAAGGAGCTCATCATCTCTCTCTCCCCCACTCCTCACACCCCCTCCCGGTTCCCTCCTCTTCTGCAGGTGTACCAAGCGCGACTGAGGGCGGGCGGGCAGAGGGTAGCAGTGAAGGTGCAGCGGCCGGGCGTGCGGGCGGCCATCGCATTGGACATCTTCATTCTGCGCATCCTTGCCGGCTGGCTAAGGCAGTACCGCCGCCTCAACACGGACCTCAAAGCCGTGGTGGACGAATGGGCCACCAGTCTGTTCAGGGTACTGCGGTGCTGTGTGTGATGTGATCTGATGTGGTGTGATGTGGTGTGCTGTGTGTGATGTGATCTGATGTGGTGTGCTGTGTGATGTGATGTGATGTGGTGTGCTGTGTGTGATGTGATCTGATGTGGTGTGCTGTGTGATGTGATGTGATGTGGTGTGCTGTGTGTGATGTGATCTGATGTGGTGTGCTGTGTGATGTGATGTGATGTGCTGTGCTGTGTGTGATGTGATCTGATGTGGTGTGCTGTGTGATGTGATGTGATGTGGTGTGCTGTGTGTGATGTGATGTGATGTGATGTGGTGTGCCATCATGCTATGCCATGTGACTTGGAGGGTGGGTGCGGCAGTACCGGCGCCTCAACACGGACCTCAAAGCCGTGGTGGACGAATGGGCCACTAGCCTGTTCCGGGTACTGTGATGTGTCGGCCATGTGGTGGGATGGGATGGTATAAGATGGGATGTGGTGTGTATGTGGCATGTAGCATGTGCTGTGTGGCTTGGTGGGGTGGCTAAGGCAGTACCGGCGCCTCAACACGGACCTCAAAGCCGTGGTAGACGAATGGGCCACCAGTCTCTTTAGGGTACTGCGGTGCTGTGCTATGTGTGATGTGATGTGGTGAGGTGTGCTGTGTGAGTTGGAGGGTTGGCTGCGGCAGTGCCGGCAGTAGCCTGTTCAGGGTACTGCAGTGTGATGGGATGGGATGGGATGGGATGTGAGGGGGTGTTAATGGATGTGACTTGCTCATCGATCAGTTGTGGCAAGGCATTAGACTCACATTCCGTCTCGTGATACGGAAAACCAAACCATGGCATCTTCTGCTGTCTGTCCTGTTCTGCTCGGCTCGGCTCTCCCAGGAGATGGACTACGAGCAGGAGGCGACTTATGAGTCGACTCAAAAGTCATCTTCTGCTGGCTGTCTGTCTGTCTGTCTGTCTGTCTGTCTGTCTTGCCCGGCTCGGCTTTGCCCTCTCAGGAGATGGACTACGAGCAGGAGGCGCAGAATGGAATCAGATTCGCGTAAGTGTGCGCTCACTCATGCTGTGTGATCGTTACCGATTGCTGCTGAAGTTTAACGCAGCCCTAAACCCCTTATCTTCTCTCCTGCCCACTACCTCCCCCTTACTCCCATCGAGCTGTTTCAGCGCATAGACAAGTTAGTGGTGCCGCACATGTAGCCTGAGCTCACCGTGCCGTTGTTTCGTGGTAGCCCTTTTCTCTCCATGTCCTTCATCCTTCCCCTTTGTGTCGATTCCTCTTCCCCCCGCCCCCCAGCGAGCTGTTTGGCCGCATAGACAAGGTGGTCGTGCCGCGCATGTATCCCGAGCTCACCACCCGCCGCGTGCTCATCATGGAGTGGATCGATGTGAGTTGCTTGTAGCGGATCCATGCACGATGCTTATAGCGGAGAGATGTATTTTGCGAACAGTGAATTGGTGTAAGCCTGTAAGGTGCTTGATAAGGTTAGAGCCCACAATGGGTTGGTGGTAACGTGCATGACAGATCAATTTTGTTATGGATTAATGTAAGATACCTTAAGTGATGATTCCATCCCCCTCGCACTCTCTCTCCCCTCCCCTCCGTCCTTGGTCTTTCAGGGCCAGCGCTTGGCTGACAGCAAGGATGTGAGCCTCGTTGAGGTGAGAGGCTGGTCCGGGTGAGAGGCTGGTCCGGGTGAGAGGCTGGTCCGGGTGAGAGGCTGGTCCGGGTGAGAGTGCTCTCCCCTTGTTGACTGTTCCTTGTACTTATTGCGAATCCAAGGAATGGTGCAACTGTAAATGAAGAGACCGAGGCTCCCTGCTCCACCTCTCTCTCTTTCTCCCTCCTACTGTCTGCTCCTCTCTTTCCCCGTCAATCTCACTTGTCCACTTCTCCCTTTACCTGTCCCTCCTTCCCCCTCTCGCCCCTCCAGGTGGGCGTGTAGTGCTCGCTATCTCATTAGCATCCTTTGCCTGTTCCCCCCTCATGGCCCTCTCACCTCCCTCTGACCCCTCAGGTGGGCGTGTACTGCTCGCTGTCTCAGCTGCTGGACTACGGCTTCTACCACGCGGACCCGCATCCTGGAAACTTCCTGCTCACCTATGATAACAAGCTCGCGTATCTGGGTAAGCTGGCAGATACATACAAGAGCCAGCCCGTTGTGCAGGTGTACTTGGCTAAGTTGGCAGATACTTAGGAGAACCAGCCCGCTGTGCTTCTCATCCGTGTCAACTTCCTTGCGTCCTTTGCTGACCAGGCGTTGGCGGCAGCATGAAACTTAATTGACGGAATGGAGAGGGTTTGAGTCGACTCAAAAGTCACCTCGTTGGCGGCGGAGTGAAACGTGTCATTCTAAGGCCCCTAAAACCTCAATGCACACCTCCTCCTTGTATCCCTGTCTCCTTCCCTTAGTGATAGAATGGAGAAATTCGATTCACAATTGCCTGCCACCTCCTCCCTGTGTCCCTGTTTGCCCGAACATGTCATTCTCAGGCCCCTCAAACCACAATTCACTGGCGCATCACCACCAACCCTTTCAAACCCCCCCCCGTCCCCCAGACTTCGGCATGATGGGCAGCATGGACCGGGACGTGCGCGAGGCATTCATCCGAGCGGCCGTGCATCTGGTCAACCGCGAGTTCGAGCTGCTGGCGGGGGACTTCGTCACGCTGGGGTAAGCTGCGCCTGCCAGGCTGGGGTGAGCTGCACTGCATACGTGTGCTTGGCATCCGTGGGTTACCAGCATTGTACGGCTTTTCATGCGCCTCAAGATTCGATGTGTGTGCCTCCCTTCCCCCCTGTGTTTCCCCCTCTCTCTTCCCACCCTCCCCAGTCTTCTCCCCTGGGGCCAGGAGACGAGCGAGGTGTCGTACGCGCTGATAGAAGTCTTCAAGTCACCGCAAAGCACGACATGTATGCCTCCCCTTACTCTGCGCCCTCCCTCTCTCCCTCGCTCTCTCCTCCCTCCCCCCATCCCACCAGTCTGCTCCCCCCGGGTCAGGAGACGAGTGAGGTGTCGTACGCGCTGACAGAGGTCTTCAAGGACGCCGTCAGCTCCGGCGTGAGGAACATCAGCTTCGGCAGCCTTGCCACCCAGCTCGGCCAAACCATGTAGGCTCGGTCATGCCATGTAGGCTCGGCCAAACCATGTAGACTTGGGATGAGCCTGGCCTGCTGTGTACAGTGTAACACAGCCTATGTGGTCGATGACTTCCAGGTGTTGCATCGCTTACAGCTTCGTGCCAAGTAACTTGTGCTTCGGTCTGTCCTCCACAGCAGCCCAGCCACGCCCTCTGCTTCACAGTGAAGGTGTGGGGTTGTGATGCATGCGTCATGTGGCGTCCGATGTCATACATCCCATCATCCATGTCCGTGCTGTCATCTCATGCCACATATCGCATGCCATGTACCCCATGCCACATACCCCATGCCTGATGCCCCGTTTCCCATGCCCCATGCCCCATGCCCCCATGCCCCATGCCCCCATGCCTCATGCCCCATCAGGTACAACTTCAAGTTCCGTCTGCCGGCTTATTTCTCTCTCGTGGTCAGAAGGTCAGTCAGCCCTACGAGTGCCACCCACCCTCCCACCCACCCACCCACCCACCCACATGCGTTCTCCTTGTGGAAGCACACCCCTGCTGCGGCTGCTGCTGCTTCCATGCATGTCCTTAGCACAGGCTACACTTCTCTTCTCCCCAATGTCGAGACGCCACCATCTGTTATCCACAAAACGGCCTCAATGCTTCCCTATGCTTCTCTTCTCTGCTCCTCTCTCCCCTCCTCTCCCCGCTCATGCTGGTGCGTGCATGCGTGTGCGTGCATGCTCGCACGTGTGTGCACAGTCTATCAGTGCTGGAGGGTATTGCTTTGAAGCGAGATCCAAACTACAAGGTGTGTGGCGCTTCTCTCATCCCCTTCCTGCCTTCACAGCAACTCACCTCCACTTTAACTCACATTGGCAGCAGTATGTCATTTCAACAGCGGTATGTCATTTCAACAGCGGTATGTCATTTCAACAGCGGTATGTCATTTCAACAGCGGTATGTCATTTCAACAGCGGTATGTCATTTCAACAGCGGTATGTCATTTCAACAGCGGTATGTCATTTCAACAGCGGTATGTCATTTCAACAGCGGTATGTCATTTCAACAGCGGTATGTCATTTCAACAGCGGTATGTCATTTCAACAGCGGTATGTCATTTCAACAGCGGTATGTCATTTCAACAGCGGTATGTCATTTCAACAGCGGTATGTCATTTCAACAGCGGTATGTCATTTCAACAGCGGTATGTCATTTCAACAGCGGTATGTCATTTCAACAGCGGTCAGTCATTTCAAAACACTATTTCTCGCGCATCCTGCAACCGATTACTTGCTGGATCATTCCCTCGCGTTTCTCTCACCCTTGCGAAACCGTCCCCCCCACCCCCCTCTCCCCCCCCTTTCCACCAGGTGATAGCGAGCTCGTACCCGTGGATCGCCAAGAAGGTGCTCACAGACCCCTCGCCTCAGCTGCGCTCCACCGTCACCAACCTGCTCTTCAAGGTACGCCGTAAACAACCTGCTCTTCAAGGTACGCTGTCACCAACCTGCTCTTCATGGTGCGGCGGATGCCTTGGCTCTGATGCCTCGACTTACCGCCCTGACGCTCCTTGGCCTTAGAAGGCATACGCCCCTCACAAACCCCTTGCCCCAGTTGCGCTCCACCGCCACCAACCTGCTCTTTAAGGTGACCTCGCTACCGGCACCATCCAACCAATCACCAACCACTCTCATGCCTTCAACTACCACCACCTCACACTCCTTGGATTGGATCTACAAGGCATAAGCTACTTCATCCCCTTCTCCCATTCCCCCCCCCCCCCGCCAACTTTTGTCGGCATTCTCCTCCCCCCGATTGCCCCACCCGCCCCAACGCTCGCCAACAGGACGGGCAGTTCCGAGCGTCGCGACTGGAGAGCCTGCTCAAAGAGGTGTGTGGGAGAGGGGGGTAGTCAGAGGGGGTTATTCTTGAGGCGCCTCAATAAAGACATGCGTATATGTGTACACACCGAGCGTTGCGGCTGGAGAGCCTGCTCAAAGAGGTGTGTGGGAGGGGGGGTAGTGAGAGGGGCTTACCTTTTAGGCGCCTTAAATAGAAAAAGTGGTTGCGGCTTGTTTTTTTAAACGGAAGAAAGTGTGTGTGAAGAGGTTTTTGGTCTCACATAACATGGTTAAGGGTGATGTGTGGTTTTGGAATAGGACATGAAGAGGTTATTCAATAACTCCATAGCTCCGCTCTTGTTGTCCCTTCCCATGCAATTCTGGGTTGTGATTGGTGGGTTGGGGGGGTAGATCATCTACGGCTGGTCTCTGCAGTCGTCCAAGCCCATGTACGGCCCGGATTCAGCCGCCAAGAACCAACCAACGGACGACACGTCCAAGGAGGGCCGCACAAAAACACTCAAGAGGATTCTCAAGTTCGGGCTGAGCGAGGAGGTGAGAAGGGGATGTTGAGGTGAGAAGGGGATGTTGAGGTGAGAAGGGGATGTTGAGGTGAGAAATGGCTGGTGGGCTGGTGGGCTGGTGGGCTGGTGGGCTGGTGGGATGGTTGGCTGGTGGGCTGGTGGGCTGGTGGGCTGGTGGGCTGGTGGGCTGGTGGGCTGGTGGGCTGGTGGGCTGGTGGGCTGGTGGGCTGGTGGGCTGGTGGGCTGGTGGGCTGGTGGGCTGGTGGGCTGGTGGGCTGGTGGGCTGGTGGGCTGGTGGGCTGGTGGGCTGGTGGGCTGGTGGGCTGGTGGGCTGGTGGGATGGTTGGCTGGTGGGCTGGTGGGCTGGTGGGCTGGTGGGCTGGTGGGCTGGTGGGCTGGTGGGCTGGTGGGCTGGTGGGCTGGTGGGCTGGTGGGCTGGTGGGCTGGTGGGCTGGTGGGCTGGTGGGCTGGTGGGCTGGTGGGCTGGTGGGCTGGTGGGCTGGTGGGCTGGTGGGCTGGTGGGCTGGTGGGCTGGTGGGCTGGTGGGCTGGTGGGCTGGTGGGGTGTGAGGGAAGTGATGGGAAGAGCATGTAGTGGTGTGGTGTCGGAGAAAGTGAACCCACTAATAATTGGGAAACAAAAACTTACAACCTGAACATGAACGCCAGCTATCTTTGCTTGTATCCGTAGGGCCATAGAGAGTGTGCAGCCCCTGTGAACTGAGTCCAAGGCGTGCCTTGTGCCTTTGGTGCCCTCTGCACCCACTCTAGCATTCTCTATTCTCTTCCTTTTCGTGTGCTCCCGCCCCATGGCAGGGCCGGTTTATTCGGGAGCTGCTGTTGGACGAAGTTGCCAAGGTACTGTTGCCTCTCTGGTGCTCTGGTGGACCGTGTCCATCACCTTGCACCGGTCATCACCGCACTCCACCACTCATTGCCGCACAGCACTCGCCACCATGCTTACTCCACACGGTATCATGCACCTCCTTGCATGGGCCAGTCCTCCCTTTCCCTTCTCCCTTCTCTCCTCCCACTTCTCCTTCATCCCCCCCCCCCGACTTGCTTCCCTTATCGCACTTTCCCTCTCCCCATTCTCTACTCCCCAGTTCTCCCCTCAGCATCTACCCAAATGCGCCCCCCCCTCCCCCTCCCCCCCTCTCTGACCCCGCTCCCCCCCCCCCCCAGGGACTAGACGCGCTCAACCGAATCACCCTTGACTCCTCCTCCGCCGCCCTCCTCTCACGCCTGCCGCCCGCGCTTCGGCCGGCGTTATTCGGCCCGCTCCAGCTGGCAACACCTGAGGACGAGGAGCACCTGGAGAATCTCCAGAGGCTGGCCACCATCGTGGCTGACCTGGACCCGTCAGGGGGGCAGGGGGGTGCGGGCAGTGAGGGGGGAAGTGGTGGTGGGGAGGAGAGAGAAGGGTGGGCAGGGATTCAGGCGGCCGTGGATCGAGCGACAGTGATCATCCAACGGCTGCCGTCGCGAGAGATCTTCACAGAGGTGAGGAGAGGTTGCGTGGTTTGTGGGATCATCCAATGGGAGACGTATCGCCGACCCCCTCCGTTGCCAGCACTTGTGGTGATGCCCATCAGTGTTGCTGGCTGAACAGAATGCATTCCAGCTGATTTCCGGCACCCTAGCTCAGCGTTTCTACCACCAGCGCTGCGTCCACCTGAGCATGCGGCATGACATGCCATGACATACCATGACATACCATGACATACCATGACATGCCATGACATACCATGACATACCATGACATACCATGACATACCCTGACATGCCATGACATACCGTGACATACCATGACATACCATGACATACCATGACATACCATGACATACCATGACATGCCATGACATACCATGACATGCCATGACATACCATGACATACCATGACATACCATGACATGCCATGACATACCGTGACATGCCATGACATACCATGACATGCCATGACATACCATGACATGCCATGACATGCCATGACATGCCATGACATACCATGACATGCCATGACATACCATGACATGGCAAACCCGCATCCCGTTTTCTCCCCAACCTGTTTCTCTCTCCCCTCCCGTCTGCATGCTGTGTGTGCTGCGCTCCCAGCTGCCCCTGCCGGCGCAGCAGACGGCGCTGCTGCTGCCAGTGGAGCTGGCGGGGCGAGTGGCGTCGCGCACTGTGGCAAGAACCATCCGCAGCAACGTGGGCGGCGGGGCAAGAGCGTCATGAGGTGCCTCGAGCGCCGTCTGAGCAGTGAGGTTCTAGTCAGTGCGTGGATCTCTTGAGGCTCACATATTATCAACTATGATTGATGTATTAGGCCTCTGGTATTATTTGAAGGGAGACACTAGATGGCATGCACTAAGAGCGTGTTCCTACAGCCTCTTCCCAGGGGTCCTCTTTGTCAGAAACTAGCTTAGCTAGGAAGCCATAGAATGGCACAAGGTTTAGCTAGGAGCTAGGAGGAGCCATGAGAATGGCGAGAGGTTTTAGGTGCTAGGAAAGTTGAGGAGAGAAAAGGGGTTGGATTAGAAGAGAGGGGAGTACAAGGAGGGGTTTGTACCCCCTACAGAAAGGTTCAGTAACAACCTACCAAGCCTATATAAATTATAACTTATATAATGTTAACACACCCCCTAGGCTTGGTAGTCACACACCCACACACACCCACACCCCCTAACCTAGCACCCCCATTCCAGCCACAGTGACAGCGACTCTAGGTCGGTCGACCCCACGGCGCGTGAGGCGGCGACGTCGACAGCAGGGGCTGCGGCGGCGACGGCGGCAGCGGCGGCAGTGTCGACAGCGGCGGCGGCGGCGGCGTGCGGCTGCGTGGCCCCGACGCAAGCGGCGACAGCGGCGGCGGCGGCGGCTTCGACAACAGCGGCAGCGGCGGCGGCACCCGCACCTCTCGGTGACGTGGCCTGGCCCCGCGACTGTGGGACGGCCGGCGGGAGTCAGCCGTCGTCTGCGGAATGGAAGAGGGCGCAGGGGAAGGAGGGGGGTGGGGGGGGGGGGCGGCGCCACAGGCTGACATGCGGGCGGCCGGTCTAGCGGCGCCACAAGCGTCACGCGGCCGGCTGCAGCCCGACGACGCCGTCATGGAGCGGCGTCGATGCCGCAGCGGGGCGTCGACGCTGCGACGGCAGCACGACGTCGCTGGTACGCCGACTGCGCGCTGTCGCGTAGACGCCGCGGCAGCGTGACGGCGCCGTCACGTCGCGACAGCAACTTGACGCGACGGCGGAGCTGCGGCACGACGGCGCGGCCACAGCAGCTGGACGCGGGCGCCATGGACGTCGACAGCGGCGCCGCGGCACGACGACGCGGCCACAGCAGCTTGACGCGGCCGCCATGGCAGCGCGAGATAGAGAGAGAAACGAGCACGCAGCGGAAACGCGAGGAGCAGGCCCACACGGAACGAACTGCTCTAATACCATGTCAGAAACTAGCTTAGCTAGGAAGCCATAGAATGGCACAAGGTTTAGCTAGGAGCTAGGAGGAGCCATGAGAATGGCGAGAGGTTTTAGGTGCTAGGAAAGTTGAGGAGAGAAAAGGGGTTGGATTAGAAGAGAGGGGAGTACAAGGAGGGGTTTGTACCCCCTACAGAAAGGTTCAGTAACAACCTACCAAGCCTATATAAAATTATAACTTATATAATTTTAACACTCTTCCCAGACCCGTCGCCCTCGCCTGAATCTCGGCAATGTCGAGGCCAATTTCGCGTCAACTTCGCGGTGCATTACGTGGAATTGCATTGAACTGATTCGAGTCTGGGAAGAGGTGACCCGGGAAGAGGCCGTAGGAAAACGCCCTTGCGGTACTATCCCTCATTCTCACATCAGGACATTGGTTCGAGCATGAGGGCGTGTCAAAATAAACAAACGGTGCTGTACACTGTAATGGCCCGGAATAACCGAGTGCTGTACTAGAACCACAAGAGTGCCAAGTTGTGCACACCCTGACATTTTCCAAACAAGCACGTCCGACACGTCTTATGCTTACGCGTTGCTGTCGCAGACCTGTCCAATACTAGACATCTAGTAAAACTAATGTCCTGTGTGAGTTAGCATATAGAACTAAACTCTCTGGCTTGCATCCCAGTGTAGAACTCCAGAGCATGCGCAACTGAACCGAACCATCAGGAAAGCACCCAGCAATCCCAGCATGCAACTGCCTACCATGACTGAAAACAACTAAGTCAGCCAAAAGCACTAAAGCAGAAGGCACGCATGCCCGCCTGCCTGGAACCTTGCCCTTTCTCCCTGCTCACAGCTCATCCTTCTTCTCCGCCTCCGCCTCTCCCTCCTCCGCCTTGCTAGCCAGCTCCGCCTCCTCCGCAGCCTCCTCCGTGCTGGGCGCCCCCTTCACAGGCGTCTTGTTCTTCTTCACGAACTCCACGAGACCCGCCTTGCCGCGGTCGCCGCTGTACGACACCACCTTGCCCTCCGACGTGTACAGGTAGATCGTCGGGAACCCCTTCACTGAGAACGTCGCCTGGGGCACGTCGTTCGCAGTGGCGTCCTGCATAGGGTGAAAAGGGTTGGCGGAGGGGGGGAAGAGAGGGAGGGAGCGCAGAGGCGGGGGGTGGTGGGGTTGCGGGGGAGAGGGGAGGCAGTTGAGGTCTTGTGGTGACGGAGTGCATGCATCGTACTTCCAAACGTCCTGCCCCAGTTACTGCTGGGCGGGTGGGTCAATGGGTCATTGGCATGTAACAGTCAAGAAACACCAGCCATCCCTTCCCTCACACTGCCTCGTTCCACCCAATACCCATCCAAAGCTGACATGCAGTCCACGGTCCGGTCGTTCGCTAACCGCCTGCTCGTAACCATTCCCTCTTCACTCGCCTGCACAGCCTGCTTCTCGTCCCTTACCTACCTACGTATGCACTGCCTGCTGACTATCCCACCACCCACACACACGCCCTCTTCCTAACTTGTAGATGGGCTCCAGCTTCTTGCAGTGCCCGCAGCTCACTCGCTCCCAGCATCAACTCTCACCGCTCCCTCTATCCATCCCATGAACGATTTGCTGACCCATGGTCTGCTGACTACCCCTTAGACTGCCCGCCAGCCTAGAGACTGCTGGCTGCCACGTGTGTGGGCCGCTCACCATCTTGGCGACGATAACGTCGGGGTCGGAGGCGAGCTCCTCGCCCACCTCCTTGTAGATGGGCTCCAGCTTCTTGCAGTGCCCGCACCACGGCGCGTAGAACTCGATCAGCACTGCCAAGCCACCACGACATGCACGCACGCGCACCAACGACAGCCATGGCCACAGCCACAGCCACACCCGCACCCACACCCACACCCACACCCACAGCCACAGCCGCAGGCACAGCCACATGCAACACAGCAATAGAGACAGGAAACACGCAGCACGACACATTGAAGAACTGCCAAATTTGACCAAATCCGAGGGAAAGTTGAGAGCGGTGGTAGCAGCAGCACAACCCGGCAAGACGGAGTGCTAGTGAGCGGGTGGGGACTGACCGTTCTTGCCGGACTTGAAGACCATGTCGTCGAGCGCGTTGGCGACGAGCACCTTGACAGGCCCGCTGTTGTCCGCCGGGATGGCCTCCGACTTCACCACCCGCTCCGCCTCGCCCGCCTGCACGACGGGGCACCCCCCAATCATCCCCGCGTGTGAGCGTCGAACGAGGCACGGTGCTGCTGCTGCATGGCCAAAATCGGCGAGGGCAACGACCCTTTCTTTTCATCCTACGTTATCTTGACATGCTACAATCCCACGTTATCCTACGTTATCTTGACATGCTAATATCCGAAGTGTGACAAACGTTGCCTAGATCGTGACTTGAAGTGTTACACTTGTGTGAAGTTACTACCTTCTTGAAACTTATATCTGGCGCTGTTATTTTTATCATGACCGAGGATGGCAAGTTGGTACGTTCATTACCTCACGGTTCCCCTTGTCTTGTACACCGAGAACACGCGCGGCTAGATCGTTTAATCCACTGCAGGCGCACCTTGTACTTGGCGACGAAGGGGGCGATGTCGGCGGGCTGGATGCTCTTCTTGACGAACTTGCCATCGGACTCGGGGTCGTGGATGATGATTGCGGGGGTGTCGGCGGCCGTGAGGCCGAAGTACTTGAGCGCGTGGTCGTTCACGGCCGCCTCGCCGATGACGAAGTAGATAGAGTCCGAGTTCGCCTTCGCCACCGCCGTGTACTCCGCGCGGAAGTCCGCCGCGTTGTCCGCCTTGTACGAGTAGAACAGCAGCGCCTAAAGAAGCACACAAAGAAACGCGGTCCATGAGCAGGCGTCGCACGAGCACGCGTCGCATGAGCAGGGCATCGGCAGCAGCTATTGCCAGGACGGTGAGCGAGATTCCCGGACAAATCAGCCACAGTGGTGGCGCGTTACCTTGGGCTTGGAGGACTCGAAGACCTTGGTGAGGTGGGTGCGGTCCTTGGGGTCCTGCGAGAACTCGATCACCAGCGGCACGGCGTGCTGCTCCACGAACGCCTTCAGCGCCTCCACCTCGAACGTCTGGATGCGGGGGGACACCGTGCGGGACGGAAACGGCAAGGAGACGGTAAGGGAACGGAAAGGGAACAGCCAGCGCATAGAGACAACACACATCGCAGACATGCATGCGGAGAACGGGACGTGCTCGATCGAAATGAGGCAGATTCAGATTCTTGCGACAACATCATCGAACTGCGCGAAAAAATGTAACTCACGGCGATGTCGGCGAAGCCCTCGTCAAACTGCTTGAGCAGACGGACGGCAGGCGCGGCGAGAGGGCCGCCGGTCTCCGGCAGCAGCGAGGAGTCGGTGGTGTGCACGAAGACGTAGTCGGAGCGGAAGAGGTTCGCCACCGACGAGAAAGCCTTGAACTCCTCTGACTCCACGTCCTTGAACACGCCCACCTGTAGGAAGATTTACCCAAGCCAAATCCATACCCGGACATTTCAGGGCTTAGCCTCGCAGCATACACAATGGGCACGATAATGGATAGGGGAAAACGGTTGACGATGGTTGAGTTCGTGATTCGTGTGTTTTCTTACCACGACGACGCTCTCGGACGCGGCGAGGTCCTTGATGTGCTCGGCGGACTTGGCCTCGCTCGTCGCGGGGCCGCTCTGCTTCTTCAGGTAGCTCACGATGCCGTCCGCGTCGCGCGGCCCGTTGTAATCCTGGGGAGTGTCAGAGCCCCTGGGATGATAAGAAGAAAAGAAACGGTAGGTCAATGAATCAGTAAGAGGGATGATGGTGGCCATGGAGGATCACGCAACAGAAGCATCCGCGCGGAAATGATCCGTACTTGCGGAAGATCTTGAGCGTGGGAAAGCCCTTGACTTCGTATTTCTTGGCGAGGCCCTTGTTCTTGGCGTCGTCCGCGTCCACCTTAGCGAGCTTCACCGTCGAGCCCGACTCCTCCAGCGCCTTGGCCGCCTTCTCGTACTGCACAGCACGAACACGAGAGACGCAGACGAGAGTCGGAAATGCACACGAGATACGAGGTGTGAGTATGGGCATCTTATCGAGACGCACGCGAATCCAGGCGGACATGCTCGAAACGCACCTCTGGAGCAAGGTTCTTGCAGTGTCCGCACCTGCAATCCACGCACGAAGAGTCAACGAACAGACAGTGAGTGCACTACCCAGTTATGCGCAGAGCTATCTAATCTACGTCCTTGCGTCCTTTCTTAGGAGGAACGACGGAGATTAAAGCGTACCATGGAGCGTAGAACTCAACAACGATGAACTCCTCGTTCGGGACTATCTCGTCGAAGTTCGAGGAGTCGAGCGTGATCACATACTCCTTCCCGTCAACGAGCGCGAGAGGAACCAGCAGCAGAGCGCATAGCCCCAGAAGGCATGAAAGGGACGCCTTGGGAGCCATGGTGAAATCCAGCAGATCTGGAATCAAGCAGCAAGCAAATGAGCTCTAATTCCAGCCCAAAAATGTACCTACAGAGTGAAGTCTGAATCTGCTCCACCCCGCCCTCGGAAACCAGGGCGCCACAGGGCAGGCTGGGAGATGGAGCCCACGCCCCGCACCAAAAGCTCGAGACATTCTTCGCTTGAATCGATATTGCGAGACTCGAGCTCACTAATGGATGAACGCAGACCATAAAACAAATTACCGCTATAAACTCCTCTAGTCATTTTCAATGTGTTATGAACCACGGTAGATTTTCCTATTTCCAGGCACAAACAAGAGCGCCTCGTGTAATCTGAATTTTTAAAAGACTTACATGCAAATAAGAGGAGTGTCCATAGCTAAAATATATCATGGACTACATTTAGGCTTGCATCTAGTATTGGCGGTTGGTGTCAACTTATACATATGCTTATATGTAGACGTTATAGGCTAGATAGGCTTGTGTTCTTAGAGAGTACATGTCCAGCCCTATATCTTCCCTGTACTCTCTTGTTTCTATAATTCTAGTATTCGAACATGGTATCATGAATAGCTTAGGCCCGCCCACCCGCTTCCGCCCCTCGCCCTAGCCTACCGCGTATCGCCGGCCCTTAGCGCGTCCGCCGGCCCCTAGCGTGCCCGCCGTCCCCTCGCGCCTAGCCGTCCCCTCGCGCCCAACCGGCCCCTCACGCTGGCCCCTTTCGCGCCGTAGCCGGCCCCTCGCGCCTAGCCGGCCCCTCGCGCCCAGCAGTCCCCTCTCGCGCCTAGCCGGCCCCTCGCGCCCAGCCAGCCTCTCGAGCCATAACCGGCCCCTCGTGCCTAGCCGGCCCCTCGCGCCTAGTCGGCCCCTCGCGCCTAGCCGGCCCCTTGCGCCCAGCCGGCCCATCTCACGCCGTAGCCGCCCCCTCTCGCGCCGTAGCCGGCCCCTTTCGCGTCGTAGCCGGCCCCTCGCGCCTAGCCGGCCCCTCGCGCCCAGCCAGCCCCTCGCGCCCAGCCGGCCCCTCGCGTGCTCACCGGCCCTTCGCGCCTAGCCCGCCCCTCGCGTGCTCACCGGCCCCTCGCGCCTAGCCGACCCCTTAGCCTCTCGGTCCCTCGCGCCTAGCCGGCCCCTCGCGTGCTCGCCGGCCCCTCGCGCACCTAGCCGTCCCTTCGCGCTCACCCGCCCCTCGTGCGCCCGCCTGCCACTCGCGTACCTCCCCAGCCCCTCCTGGACCTCCGGCTCCTCGTGCGCGACTCGGACCCTGAGCGCCTCGGGCCCTCCTCGGCCTCCCGCCCGGTTTTCCTGTCGAAGAGCCCTACCGCCGTGCCGCTGAGCACCCGTGCAGCTATGCCGCCGTAACGCTGTCCCGCCGTAACGCTGTGCCGCCATGGACCTGTGCTGCTGAGGCTGCGCGATGGCGGACGCCGTACTTCGCCTGGACGCGGAGGGGCACGCGATCGACTTCGCTGCCTGGCTTGTCGATCTCCGCCGGCACCTGACAGGTCAGCGCCAGGATGGGCACTCCCTAGCTATGCATGTTGATGGCCTGCTTCCCCGCCCCTCTGTGCCTGATCCCCTCCCTACTGACCCCACCACTGCTGAGAGTAAGGCCTTTGCTGCTGCTGCGCTTGCTCGCACTGTCTGGGTTTCTTGCGATGCTGTAGCGCAGCTCGCCATGAGTCATGCGCTTCCTCTATCTGAGCGTCCGTGCTTCACTGCTGTCGCGAACGCCAAGGACTTCCTAGATTCAATAGTTGCGCGCTACTCCACCCCTGTCTTCGCCTCCGCTGGCCGCTTGATCCTCCCTATGCTACTCCCTGATCTTTCCGCTTTCCCCACTCTCGCTGACCTCGCTACTCACCTCCGTGCACTAGAGACTAGCTTCCACGCTGCTAGCACTACCGCCTTTGTCACTGCTCTGTCTGAGATAGAGACTCGCCAGCGCACTATCGCTTAGTCAAGCGGTGTTGCGGCAATCCCTATCTTTCAGGGTTGTGCTCCCTCCCAGCGCACCTACGCTGACGTCTCCGCCGCGGTTGCCACGGCTGCCCCTGCCACTGAGACAGCAGCTGCGGCTTTCCCACAGCAGCGGCAGCGTCGGGGCCACCGCAGCCACAACGGAGGGCGTGGTGGTGGCGGAGATAGTGGTTCTGACGAGGGGGCTGGAGCTGGTGTCCAAAAGCAGCAGCAGTCGCAATCGCAGCAATAGCAGCAGCCGTGGGCCCGCCTCCCGTCGGGGTGGCCAGGAGCCCCAGGAGGTGGTGCCCGCGGTAGTGGCCCTCACAGCTCGGCGTCTACCGGTGGCTTTGGTGCTGTGAGCTGCTAGTACCAGCTCCAGACCTGGCCCCTCCGTGGCACGGTGTGCCGCTGCTCGCAACCGACCGCCCGCTGCTTCTGCCGCCTCGACGACCTCTTCCGTCGCCGCTTCGGCCTGGCTTTGGACCTCCCCGACCGGCCCAGCCTGCTGCGTTACGGTGTGCCTGTGTTTGACTTGACATGGATCAGATTAGTTCTGCCCTGCATTCTCTGTATGCTGGCGCTTCTAGTGTGCCAGGATCTTATTACCATGTGTTATCTAGCTTACATGTAGCCCCTGTGAGTAGTCCACACTCCCCTGCTGCATCAGGCGTAGGACCGGTTGCTTTGTCTAGCCTAGGCTCTACATTCGCTTCTCCTTCGTCTTCTGCTACTGCGTCGCTGTTCTTCACCCTTGACTCTGGTGCGTCAGCCAGCATCTTCCGCGACCACGCCACCCTCATGCCGGTTGCCGTGCCTGCCGTTGTCGCACTTGCTGACCCCTCCTCGGGTCCTATCATTGCTCGCAGCTACGCTACCCTTCCCTGTCCGGCGGTCCCCTCGGGTTCCCTTACAGGCCTGCACATCCCTTCGTTCTCCAGGAACTTAGTTGGTGTCGGCTGTCTTCAGGACCTAGGCGTCACCACTACGTTCCCTGGCCACGAGCGGTACGCTGTTTGTACCGAGACCGCCTCAGGTGCCCCCCTTGCGAAGTTCCCCCGGAACCTGGTGTCTGGCCTGTTTACGCTGAACACTGCTTCCCCCCGGTGGTTGCGTTCTCCTCGCGTCTTGCATCAACCCAGGCTACTGCGGCTTGCTCGTGTCGGTTGCTCACTCACCCGTCGCTTCTGTGGCACCATTGCCTTGGTCACCCCGCACTCCCGCGTCTGCGTCACATGTCTCAGCACGGTCTCGTCCTAGGTCTCCCTGCGTCGCTTCCTGCCCTCACTCCCTCACCTGCGCCACCGTGCATGCCCTGCGTTTAGGGCCGTCTGCGCCGTGCTCCTCACTCCTCCTCGCTTCGCCCTGCCACTGCACCCCTCCAGACCCCGCACTTGGACGTCTGGGGCCCGTACCTCCATGATTTATGCCGGTGCACCCCATTTTCTGTGGTCGTTCGCCGTTCGCTACTCCGCTCACCAGCTTAACCTCTGGCCGTGGTCCCAGCGGCCGCAGGTTTCGCCGCCCGTTCTTGGACCGGGTTCCCTGGTGACGCGTTTGTGTTCCACGTCTGGGGCTGACTCACTCACGTCCATGCCACTACCCGCATTGTCCCCTGTGTCTTCCGCGGTTTCCCCCTTAACTCGTCTGACGGACACTTTTACCACCCGTCGTCTCACCGCTTCTTTCACTCGCGTAACGTCACTTTCGACGAGTCTGTCTCCTTCTACCACTTCTTTCCCCACCGAGGTTCCTCGGTTTCCCCTCCCTTGTTTCTGGTTCCCACTCCCCCGGTAGCCCCTGCTCCCCTCCCCCCCCCTCCTGCTCCCTATGGTGTGTACCACGTCACTCCCCTCCCGTCGGTTGTCCTGGGGGTGTTGGCGTTGAGGAGGGTGCTAGTCCTGAGGTTCCTGTCGTGGCTTGTCCCGACAGGCTTGGGGGTGGCACCGGTGGTGGAGAGAGTTCCCGCTCTAAGAGCGCTCGCTCTGAGGGTGCTGGAGAGGAGTGTTCCGGAGATGGCCGTGGCGCAGCTGGTGGTCCAGGTGTCAGCGTCGAGCCGCAGCAGCAGCAGCAGTCGCCGCCGGTGTCCGCCCTTCGCTTGCTCGGCCTTCCCTCCCCTGACCGCTCACCTTCGCCTTCCCCGCCCCCCCCCCCCCCCCCCCCCCCCCCCCCCCCTTTTCCGAATTCCTGTCTATGGTCCTTTGTTCCCTCCGCCGGACTCGTCTCCGGCTCATCTTCCTTCTCGTTCCCCTCTTCTGTCTCCTCCTCTGTCTCCTGACAAGATGCCTCTGTCTCATGTCTGGTCTCGCCATCCCTCTCGTGCTCGTCCTATCTCTCATGTCCAGCGTTCTCACCCTATGTTGCTTCATTCCCACGCGTCTCGTCCTCCCCGTCTGCCTTTGGCTCCTCCGTCGTTGCTCGCTGTCACGCCTCTCCCTCTATCTGACTACCTTCATACCGCTCGTCCTCTTGTTCCTCGGGTCCTTGCCTCCCTCGTTACAGACCCGTATGTTCTTATCTCCAGCCTTCATGCTCTTGTCGCTGCTGTCACTGACTTCGCCTCTACCCATCGCCTTGACTATGCCACCGCTCTAGTCTCTGACCCTGCCCGTCCTCCGTCCGTCGGGGATGCTCCTGCCTTTGGCAGTGACGTCTTGGAGGACTGGCAGTACGAGCTTGCTTTCCTGTCAGAGGCTGCTCCCCATCTCTGTTCCATGTTGCTAGTCCCTGAGGGTGACCCAGACGCCTTTGATATCCCGACCCCTCGAACCTACGCTGAGGCGACCTCGGGACCCTAGGCCTCTCAGTGGATACCTGCCATCGAGCACAAGATGGCATCTTGGAGATCCACCGGCACCTATGTCGACGCAGCTCCCTACCTGGGGTGAACGTAGTCGATGGCCGGTGGCTCTTCAATGTGAAGCGCCCCCTGGAGAGCCGCTTGTGTTCAAGGCGCGCTATGTGGCTAGAGGCTTCAGCCATCGTTAGGGGGTTGACTTCTTTCAGACCTTCGCCCCGACCCCAAAGATGACTACTCTTCGGGCGCTGCTACACGTAGCAGCACAGCGTGACTACGAGTTACACTCCCTCGACTTCTCCACTGCGTTT